CATTAATCCACTGAATTATTCACATTATAAAAAATTGAATGCAACATTTTTTTTAATTATTAATTAGACCTTTATGATATGTTTTATCATTGACCTTAATCATCTGTTTGGCTACCAGTATAGCGAAACAAAAAATAAATTAAATTATAGGAGTAAGTAAAAAACCAAAATAAATAACGAAAAATTATGAAACAACACTATTCCTTTTTTGCTTTTAGCTTACAAGAAAATCAACCTATTAAGTAATGAATTCACAATAGACTAATTTCTATTTATACTGACCAGAGCATTAACTGATATTTAAAGTGGATTGCAAACAAATAAAGATTGGTGATATTCTATTGGTCATGGGATATTTCTAGCACACCCATTTTAGGGACCTTATTAATTAAGACAAATAACATTAGTTATCAAAATTATTTGACATAAATTTTAGATTAAGGTAGCATTACTTATAAGAATTATAACTGTATTCACAAGAATCACAACCACGTTTTTTAATGATGTTTGTGGCCATAGTTTTTTTACATATACACCAAACATATTATTTGCATGAGGTTTCCCAATATAATAAAGTATCTCATTTGATTTTGTTATTAGATTGACATTTCATGTCAAATTTGTGAAATGATTTGGTACTTTTTTTTCTCTTTTTTTATTTTTTATTTTTATATATAACTTACTATTACATTGATGTATTGGAGGAAACTAAATGGACAACATCTGATAAAATAGAAGATAGATTCAAGTACCCTTTTTTTTTTATAAAAAATTGTTGTAACGTTATACTTTTTTATAAATATGTTTATTTTAGATATATTAAATAAATATTTATCAAATTTTGTTTAAATTTAGTTAACTCAAATTCAAGTGTGATATTTATCAATTTTTAAAATTAAAATTATTCATTGAATTAGTGAAAATTAAATAAAATTTATAGAATTAAAATATTTAAATTTTTTTAGTTCCATTAGAATTAATTGTGTGTGTATATATATATATATATATAAAAGTTAAGTTCAGATAAAAGTTCATATATATGAGGAAAAAATATATCTATTTTAATTTTGCAGACCATTTGGATGGAAAGAAAAAAAATTAAAATTTGAGGGGCACGAAGGATAGAATTAGCGATTATTTTTAGGTTTTTGTAGTTCAACTAGAATATATATATATACCCCTATAAAGTTGATTTCAAAAGAATTTCCATATATTAGTAAAAAGAGAATAAGGTTGATATTTAATTACAATTACTTGAAAAAGTATCTCATGTGACTTGTGTTAGTAGATTCGAGAATTGTGCAGTGAAGTAACACATCGCATTTGTGAAGATTACCGAGTGATCGATGTAAAGGGTGAGGATATCCAACAAAGAGAAGAGAATAGAGTACACAAATTCAATTTTGATATTCAGAAAAGGAAAAAAAAATAAATTAAATCAGTGATTGCATGAAATGAATAATTAGATTGAATTTTGTAAATTGATATAAATAATTAAAATTTATATGTATATATATACATTGGAACCTCAAGAGATTGCTAAAGTGAGTAAGTCACTTGACCTGGTGCTTCACCCAAGCAAAAGAAATATATATTATAATTGAGTTCAAAAAAAAAAAATTGACACAACAATTACGTAATTCAACAAGTAGTATTTCATTCTATTATGAATCTAAACACCAAAATTTTATTGACTAATTTCTATTTACTTTAACATTTTCCTAAAAGCAAAAACTAAAATAAAAAGGAATACTAATTTTGTAATTACCACTAAGTTCAAGATTCATTATTTGACTATATAAAATTAAGGGCAAAGTACAATAAACCATCACAACCACAACCGTTTTTAAATAAACCCTCTTCAATTAAATTTTCTATCAAAAAAAAATCACAACTATTCAAAAGAAGTAAAATAGTGGATATTTGCACCAAAATGCCTTTATTGTTGTTTTATTTGAATTCTAATTCATCCGAAATTCAAAAATTCATATCTCACAAATCGTAAATCCAAAAAGTACAAATAATATATGTACGGAGAGCTTTTGAAACAAGGATTCCATAAATATAAGATTTGTGCAATAAGCCGCCATAACCAAAGAAATTGGTAATCTAAGAATATGTTCTAGCAATCTTATTTTTTTAAAAATAAAATAAAATATTTGCACATGCAATTCCCTCAGTGTACGAGGCTCTCATTAATTCGAAGTCTAGAAAGGATGAAATGTATATAACATATCTCGTACATGCGGAGAAGCCACTTCCGTAATTCGTGACTTCTATGAACAACTTATTGTTACACCAAGGCTGACTAACAACTGCACTAGGCTCACTATCATTTTTCACCTGGACTTTTACTATTTTCGCAAGTCACATAAGCCCTACCATGTGCTTTGTCAGTCCTCTTTTCAATTTTTTCTCTACTAATTTTTTTTTAAAAAAATTATTTTTTATTTGCTTTAAGAGACAGACCACAAATCTAAGAGATTGACCAAGGAAATATTGGATAATTGCTTACCAGGCCCAACCCTTGCATTGCTTTTGAAAATGAGTAAGTATTGTAAATGCAATATTGGATCATGGAGTTGGAACCTCCCGAGTCCTCTGGCTAGGTGTAACGGTTGGGCACTTGCTCATTTATCTAAAAGTTCGAATTATTGGGTAGTGCTGCATATCCACCCATTTATATATACATCAACCTCCATTCAAATCCGATGTGGGATAAGTTTTACTTGTAACATTCTCCCCTACCCAAACCCGCACAATGCCCTCATTGCGGTTGGACCACCCTGCCTACCCATGGACAGACCCGAACGCCCTCCGGGCTAGACGCTTGGCGTGACACCGGATTAAGGACTGGGTCTGGCTCTAATACCAACTGTAATGGGTGGGCGCTTGCCCATTTACCAAAAAGCTTGAATTATTGGGTAGTGCTGCATACCCATCCATTTATACACACTTCAACCCCCATCCAAATCTGATGTGGGACAAGTTTTACTTGTAAAACTAGGATATTAGAGTAATTTTAACATTATCCAAGGACCGAAACTATATGGCCATCGACAAGCCAATCACTACACGAGTAAATATATTCGTTTTATTTAGATTTCTACTTTCATTTAGATTTTTACTTGAGTATCGAAAGTTCTAATTAGCCAAAATCAATTGTGATGATATGCAACTCTTAGGATTTCGTGATATGAATTTTTGATGTGTCAACTTACAATGTCTAACACATATGAATCATACAAAAAACATATGTCTTTTTTTAAAAATATATATGTATTATATTTATATTGACAAAAAACATATTCTTTTATTTTATATATTTATGTTATGTTCCATATGCAAATGAATAATTCTAATAATTTTTTTTGCAAATATTAAAAATAAAATAAGATTGTTGTAGTAGATTCTTAAATTACCTGGATATGGGCTTGCACAAATCTTAAATCTTAAATTTCTGGAATCCATGTTGTAAGGGCATTTTGATCAAAATATTCACTCTTTTACCCCTCGAATAGTTGGAAGGAGGGGGTTTGATAAAAAAAAAAATTAGTTGAGGGGAGTTACTGAAAAACTTCAATAAGAAAATTGAATAAAGATCAGGAATATAAATATAGTAACAACAAGGTCATATACTGTTTGATATATAATCGTACTAAAAAATAAAAAATAGAGAAAAAAAAAATGTATATTCCCACACAGGGAGAAAATAGAATGAGAAAATTGTTGAGTTTGGGGGACCTTGTATATTCCCATATACTCTTTTCCACATATATATATTTTTTTTGTAAATACACAAAAACATATCATTTGCACTATGTTCACTTCTCATGATAATTTTTTTTTTTTTTTTTAAATACACAAAAACATATTATTAGCATTGGTAGAAATAACAAATTATGTGTGAAAAAAAAAAACACAAAAACATATTATTAGCGTTGGTAGAAATAACAAATTATGTGTGAAAATGATGTGTGGAATACCAAACAAATAGAACACAAAGGAATAGTAGAAGGTTGTAATTTCTTTTTTAAGTTTCATATATTATTAGCTCCAATAAAAAAAAAAAAAAAAAAAAAAAAAAAAAAAAAAAAAAAATTATTTCTTAGTAGGCCCAAACAATTAACTTCTATTTTCTATCCCTGTTTAACCTTTTTTTATTTTTTATTTTTTCGTCGTCCCCCTCATACCAAGTTTTTTTTTTTTTGAATGGTATATATATCTATATGTACTATTATTAAAAGTACAAGGAGTGTCAAGAATTTCAAATCATTATTATTAATTAATAATAAATACATAATAAAATAAGTTAATAATAAGTTACCAATTAAAAAGCAACTCCTAATTTAATAAAGTTGTATAATAGGTTACCAATTAAAATACAAACATAAATTACCAATTAAAATATTAATCCTATTCTACATTGGATTCTACGGGATTATTACCAATTAAACTAATAATAATCCTATTCACAGATTCCTCACGGTTTACTCCACATTGGATAAAAGGGACCAATTAAATACAACTCCTAATTTAATAAAGTTGTATCATAAGTTATCAATTAAAATAATAAACATAAGTTACTAATTAAAATAATAAACATAAGTTACAAAGATGTATGTAAAAATCACCTTATATTATTTTTTCTTGGTTTTATCTTCGTTTGTATGACAATTTTTTTTTGTTCAACCCCAAATTTAATGGTACCTCAGTTTACTTTACACGGGATCGCTTACACACACAGGCGAAAGGGACGATAAGAAATTACAAAAAATTGAAACTAAAAAATAAATTAATAACCAAAACTCACCCTCAATCTGCACTCGTCTCTTAGCACCAAAATGTATTGCATGACCAAATAAGAATTTTGAAACTGAAAAATAAATTAATAACCAAAACTCACCTGGTCTCTCAGCACCAAAATGTATTGCATGACCAAATAAGAAAACAATTCTCAAAACAACATATAGTCTTCTTATCTCTTGCCTCCAAATTTATCAGGGTGAAACAATGCTCTCCAAAAAAATCTCTGCATCCTCAACTACAAGCATAAAAGAGTCTCCATCATTATCTTGATCATAACATCTAAGGCTACCGAGTTGAGAATCACCGGGAATTTCTAAATATCTATGTGTATTTTCCTTTTTCTCTACATTAGATACAAGTAAGAATTGATCTATCACAGATAGAAGATTATCCTTGTTTGAGAAATCCAAAGGCTTCACACGATTCCAATTCCTTGGAAGGGCAAAGCCAAGATTAGTCCACGACTCTCTCTTGCCATATTCCTTCATCACCCAAAATTCACAAGACCAGCACCCCGACTTCCCCGTAATCTTGACACAGACACAGAGACATCCTCTGAGAACCGTAACCAAGTAAGCTTTACGTTGTTGTGTTTCAAATTCTGCAGGTAAAATAAAAACTTGAAATTTTTCCTCCTCTAAATTAAGAGAAACTATCTTACTCATGTCCTTAGTTAACCAATGGAGAGCTCCATTCAGAAGTGCCGCAGCTGGCGCAGAGCACATAACATGGTAAGGGATGTCTTGAATTCTTCTCCAAGAATTTGTTTTTCGTGTATATAAAGTCGTTATACTTTTGTGACAATCTGGGATGTGCACAACCTTATAGTCATCGATTAAGGCGTCGTAGCCAAACCCATATGCACCACCAAACCCATATGTAACACCACCTGTTATACTTTTGAATGGTGGGTGTAATCTTTTGACTTTTCTAGTTGAAGGATTCAGCAGGTGAAGTTCTTCTTCACAAGAAGAATAAGGAGAAGTTGAATATAATATCAATCCGTCACAACAACCTAAGAACTTGCCCGATTGACACTCAAAATTAAGTGGATAATCAACTTTTCCACTCGGCTCAATAATGTTGCCAGAAAATACAACGATTGCTGACCTCCATTCTTTAATCTGACAGGAAAAAACAAGTTGTTTTTTGTTGGGCTCGTAGGATCGATTTAGGTGCATCTTCACAAAATATGGATCAGTGAACAAAGTTAGCCAAGACTTTGACACACACTTAAAACGTACCAGGGACTTGACAGGCAGTCGTGAGAGTATGTCCATGACGACGTCATTGGGTAGGGACTTGATGGATGATGACTCTTCTCTTCTTTCTATCATCTCCATAGCCTCTCCTCGGCCTTCTTTGGTTTTAGTTAGTGAGGGTTATTCAGAACGTAATATACACATTATTTTTACTTATTTATAGGGTCGCCTAAGCCCCCACTCCCAAAAGTTTTTATTACCTTATATATTATTGCCTTCCTAAAAAAATTAATTTCTTAGTAGCCCAAAGAATTAAGTGCTATTTTCTATCTCAGTTTAACTTTTTTTTTTTTTTTTTCGTCGTCCCCCTCATTCCAATTTTTTATTTATTCTTTTATTTTTTATTAATAAGTATATCTATATATACTATTTTTTTTAATAATATATATATATATATATATATATCCATATATATTATTATTAAAAGTACAAGGGTGTTAAGAATTTAAAATCATTAATATTAATTAAAAATAAATACATAATAAAATAAGTTATAAATTAAAAAACAACTCCTAATTTAATAACGTTTAATAATAAGTTACCAATTAAAATACAAGCATAAGTTATCAATTAAAATAATAATCCTATTCTACGTTGGATTCCTCAGGATTGTTACCAATTAAACTAATAAACCTATTCACAGGATTCTCCACGATTTACTCCACGTGGAATAAAAGGGACCAATTAAAATATAACTCCTAATTTAATAAAGTTGTATCATAAGTTACTAATTAAAATAATAAACACAAGTTACCAAGCGGTATGTAAAAATCACCTTATATTATTATTATTTTTTCCCGGTTTTATCTTAGATTGGATGACAAATTTATTATTATTATTATTATTATTTTTTTATTATTTATTTTTTCAGTTCAACCCCAAATTTAATGTTATCTCACAATTTACTTTACATGGCATCGCATACACACACAGGCGATACACAGAAAGGGACGATGAGAAATTAAAAAAAATTGTGTCACCTGTTTCATTTGTTAAGTCTAACAAGAATTCAAATGATTTTTTTTTTTTTTTTTTTTTTTTTTTTTTCAATTCAGCCCTAAATTTAATGTTATGTATATAATGATATCTAATGAGACAAGAGGTATGTAAAAATTACCTTTTATATATATATATATATATATATATTTTTTCCCCCAATTTTACCTTCGTTTGTATGAAAATTTTTTTTTAGTTTATTTTATTTTATTATTATTTTTTTTGTTCAATTCAACCCCAAATTTAATATTTGGTATAATGATAATAGCAAAGTCCTAGCACTAAGAATAGATATCTAATGAGACCAGAGGTATGAAAGTATTATAAATTATTTCTGAATAAGTCTAACGTTATTGATGATGAGTACTTCTTTTTCTTTTTTCTTTTTTCTTTTTTTTCTTCTTTTTTGAATAAGCCTAATTTGTCGTAATTGCAGAGATCACCAAATACTATAATTTGTAGTAATTGCAGAGTCCAACAATATTGGAGAAAGCATATAAATTTATTTATTTTTTATTTTAATAATTAATTCTTTTATTTATGAACTTTTTTCGATTTTTATTTATTGATGTTGATTTCCTTATAATTTTTCATGTTTGTGATAAAGTTGTTATATAATGTTCCTTTGGTCCACGTCCAAGTAATTTTTTTAAAAACAAGTTTAGAAATTAAATATCAAAAATTAATGTAACCACGTGAATCACACGTGTTTTTGACTAAGTGTGTGTGTGCATATATATGTATATATATATTGAACCGGTTCTATTATATATTTTTTATTATTATTGTTATTATTATTTTTTACAAGGCAAGAAGGGTTTATTATGTGCTGAAAATACAAAAATTTTAGCCAAAACTTGAATACATGCTGAAAATACAACAATATAATTAGTAACTTTGCATCTTAAATAGGTAATAAATATAATTTTTAAATAAACAAAACTAATTATTTTTTTATATTAATATATACTGCATATTAAAATTTCTTTTTATATTTTTGTCGAGCCCTCAAATTATATAGAGCTTAACTATCGACCAAAGGGAATGTCACATCGATCCTTGAGTAACATATTTGTAGGGGATGTGTAATTCGTGGCTTTGAGATTGGGTGATGATTAGGTAAATCATTTTTGTACTGCCATGTAAAATAATTCAATTATTTAAAAAATCCTCAAATCATATTGGTGAAATTTCTTGCAATCTTTTAAAACTTGGAGTGGTACTTCTATAAAAATTCAAACATAGGAGTCCGAAACACTAAGTAAGTCCTTACCTAAATCCGTAATCACCCATAAAATAGTTAATCCCAAGCACGGAAATCAATGAAATGACTCAAAGTGGGTCATACAAAATCAAAATAAATCCAAGTGGTCATTTGATTCCATACCACAAGCTTCTAGATACAAGAATTGTGATTTCACACATCCGCCCCCTTTGGTTTCAAGGATTACCAAAATATGCCACACTCAAACGGTGAAAAAATCTCTATCTACAATTGAAATATGTGATAAAGGTTAATATTATTGGAAAGCTGACTCAAAAACCTTAAAATTGAACTCATATTTAACCCACTTTGGAGTTAAAATGAGAATTGGGTTAAATTGAGTAAGATATAGTCGTTTGAAAATAGAACATCAAATCTAACAAGTAATAGGAACGAGTCGGTATAGTTGCCAACTGAGCTGGCTTCTTTGCCAACTGAGCTAACTCAGTTGTCAAAGAAGTCGACTTCTTTGGACCGAGAGCAATTTTTCTCAAAAAATGGGTTCCATATGAACTGAGTCGACTCATTCTCTAAATGAGTCGGCTTTTTCCGGGGAATAAGTCAGAAATTTGTTAAAAAAACCTCACCGGAAATACCTTTGTGCATTTTTAACCTATACCATGCATCCTAATGCCTCAAAACTGAAATCCAGGCATCCCAATAGTGGAACATAGCGGTGAAATAATTATACCACGTGTGTAAAAGCATGACATGCGAAATATAAATGGAATATACAACGTATGCTTTCTATTTGAAATGGCTCTAAGGCCTAAGATACAACCTCTTTTTCTTTCTTTTTATTTTATTTTATTTTTTTAGTAGGCCCAAAGAATTAACTTCTATTTAGTATATTTATTTAACCATTTTTTTTAACTCATTTATCTTTATTTAACTTTTTTTTTTTTTTACTCGTTCCCCTCATTCCAAGTTTTTTATTTATTCTTTTATTTTTTATTAATGAGTGTATATAGTATGGACCGGTTATATTATATATTGAAAAAAATAAAACTTTAGCAAAACTTGAGTACAAGAATATAATTATTAACTTTGCGTCTTAAAAAATGAATTTATTGTTAGCTTTTAATATTTTTTATTTTCCTTCTATTATTATACTCCAACCAATAGTAGAAGCCTAGAAGGTTCTTATTTTTTTATTTTTTTTTTTACGTTTAGTATAGTATTACCTCAAAATAATAATAATAATAATAATAATAATAATAATAATAATAATAATTTCTTAGTAGAACGAATTAACTTCTATTTTCTATCTCTGTTTTTTTTTTTTTTCGTCGTCCCCCTCATTCCAACTTTTTTATTTATTCTTTTATTTTTTATTAATAAGTATATCTATATATACTTTTTTTTTTTTGAATGGTATATATATATATATATATATATATATATATATATGTACTATTATTAAAAATACAAGGGGTGTCAAGAATTTTAAATCATTATTATTAATTAAAAATAAATACATAAAAAATAAGTTATCAATTAAAAAACAACTCCTAATTTAATAAAGTTGTATAATAAGTTACCAATTAAGATACAAACATAAGTTGTCAATTAAAATAATAATCCTATTCTACATTGGATTCCACGTGATTGTTACAAATTAAACTAATAATCCTATTCACAGTATTCCTCACGGTTTACTCCGCATGGGATAAAAGGGACCAATTAAAGTACAACTCCTAATTTAGTAAAGTTGTATCATAAGTTACCGATTAAAATAATAAATATAAGTTACCAATTAAAATAATAAATACAAATTACCGAGCGGTATGAAAAAATCACCTTATATTATTATTATTATTTTTTTATTATTTTTTCCCGGTTTTATCTTCGATTGTATGATAAATTTATTATTATTATTATTATTTTCAATTCAACCCCAAATTTAATGTTATTTCACAGTTTACTTTACATGGCATCGCATACACACACAGGCGATACACAGAAAGGGACGATGAGAAATTAAAAAAAATTGTGTCACCTGTTTCATTTGTTAAGTCTAACAAGAATTCAAATGTTTTTTTTTTTTTTTTTCAATTCAGCCCTAAATTTAATGTTATGTATATAATGATATCTAATGAGACAAGAGGTATGTAAAAATTACCTTATATATATATATATATATATATATATATATTTTCCCCCAATTTTACCTTCGTTTGTATGAAAATTTTATTTTAGTTTATTTTATTTTATTATTATTTTTTTTGTTCAATTCAACCCCAAATTTAATATTTGGTATAATGATAATAGCAAAGTCCTAGCACTAAGAATAGATATCTAATGAGACCAGAGGTATGTAAGTATTATAAATTATTTCTGAATAAGTCTAACGTTATTGATGACGAGTACTTCTTTTTCTATTTTCTTTTTTCTTTTTTTTCTTCTTTTTTGAATAAGCCTAATTTGTCGTAATTGCAGAGATCACCAAATACTATAATTTGTAGTAATTGCAGAGTCCAACAATATTGGAGAAAGCATATAAATTTATTTATTTTTTATTTTAATAATTAATTCTTTTATTTATGAACTTTTTTCGATTTTTATTTATTGATGTTGATTTCCTTATAATTTTTCATGTTTGTGATAAAGTTGTTATATAATGTTCCTTTGGTCCACGTCCAAGTAATTTTTTTAAAAATAAGTTTAGAAATTAAATATCAAAAATTAATGTAACCACGTGAATCTCACGTGTTTTTGACTAAGTGTGTGTGTGTGTGTATATATGTATATATATATTGAACCGGTTCTATTATATATTTATTATTATTATTGTTATTATTATTTTTTACAAGGCAAGAAGGTTTATTATGTGCTGAAAATACAAAAATTTTAGTCAAAACTTGAATACATGCTGAAAATACAACAATATAATTAGTAACTTTGCATCTTAAATAGGTAATAAATATAATTTTTAAATAAACAAAATTAATTATTTTTTTATATTAATATATACTGCATATTAAAATTTCTTTTTATATTTTTGTCGAGGCCTCAAATTATATAGAGCTTAACTATCGACCAAAGGGAATGTCACATCGGTCCTTGAGTAACATATTTGTAGGGGATGTGTAATTCGTGGCTTTGAGATTGGGTGATGATTAGGTAAATCATTTTTGTACTGCCATGTAAAATAATTCAATTATTTAAAAAATCCTCAAATCATATTGGTGAAATTTCTTGCAATCTTTTAAAACCTGGAGTGGTACTACTATAAAAATTCAAACATAGGAGTTCGAAACACTAAGTCCTTACCTAAACCTGTAATCACCCATAAAATGGTTAATCCCAAGCACGGACCATAAAATGGTTAATCCCAAGCACGGAAATCAATGAAATGACTCAAAGTGAGTCATACAAAATCAAAATAAATCTAAGTAGTCATTTGATTCCATACCACAAGGTTCTAGATACAAGAATTGTGATTTCACACATCCGCCCCCTTTGGTTTCAAGGATTACCAAAATATGCCACACTCAAATGGTGAAAAAATCTCTATCTACAATTGAAATATGTGATAAAGGTTGATATTATTGGAAAGCTGACTCAAAAACCTTAAAATTAAACTCATATTTAATCCAATTTGGAGTTAAAATGAGAATTGGGTTAAATTGAGTGAGATATAGTCGTTTGAAAATAGAACATCAAATCTAACAAGTAACAGGAACAAGTCGGTATAGTTGCCAACTGAGCTGGCTTCTTTGCCAACTGAGCTAACTCAGTTGTCAAAGAAGTCGGCTTCTTTGGACCGAGAGCAATTTTTCCCAAAAAATGGGTTCCATATGAACTGAGTCGACTCATTCTCTAAATGAGTCGGCTTTTTCCGGGGAATAAGTCAGAAATTTGTTAAAAAACCTCACCGGAAATACCTTTGTGCATTTTTAACCTATACCATGCATCCTAATGCCTCAAAACTGAAATCCAGGCATCCCAATAGTGGAACATAGCGGTGAAATAATTATACCACATGTGTGTAAAAGCATAACATGCGAAATATAAATGGAATATACAACGTATGCTTTGTATTTGAAATGGCTCTAAGGCCTAAGATACAACCTCTTTTTCTTTCTTTTTATTTTATTTTATTTTTTTAGTAGGCCCAAAGAATTAACTTCTATTTAGTATATTTATTTAACCATTTTTTTTTAACTCATTTATCTTTATTTAACTTTTTTTTTTTTTAACTCGTTCCCCTCATTCCAAGTTTTTTATTTATTCTTTTATTTTTTATTAATGAGTGTATATAGTATGGACCGGTTATATTATATATTGAAAAAAATAAAACTTTAGCAAAACTTGAGTACAAGAATATAATTATTAACTTTGCATCTTAAAAAATGAATTTATTGTTAGCTTTTAATATTTTTTATTTTCCTTCTATTATTATACTCCAACCAATAGTAGAAGCCTAGAAGGTTCTTATTTTTTTTTTTTTTTTTTTTTTTTTTTTACGTTTAGTATAGTATTACCTCAAAATAATAATAATAATAATAATAATAATAATTTCTTAGTAGAACGAATTAACTTCTATTTTCTATCTCTGTTTTTTTTTTTTTTTTTTTTTCGTCGTCCCCCTCATTCCAACTTTTTTATTTATTCTTTTATTTTTTTAATAATAAGTATATCTATATATACTTTTTTGTTTTGAATGGTGTATATATATATATATATATATATATACACCATTCAAAAAAAAAAGTATATATAGATATACTTATTATTATATATATATATATATCTATATGTACTATTATTAAAAATACAAGGGGTGTCAAGAATTTTAAATCATTATTATTAATTAAAAATAAATACATAACAAATAAGTTATCAATTAAAAAACAACTCCTAATTTAATAAAGTTGTATAATAAGTTACCAATTAAAATACAAACATAAGTTGTCAATTAAAATAATAATCCTATTCTACATTGGATTCCACGTGATTGTTACAAATTAAACTAATAATCCTATTCACAGTATTCCTCACGGTTTACTCCGCATGGGATAAAAGGGACCAATTAAAGTACAACTCCTAATTTAGTAAAGTTGTATCATAAGTTACCGATTAAAATAATAAACATAAGTTACCAATTAAAATAATAAATACAAATTACCGAGAGGTATGTAAAAATCACTTTACATTATTTTTTCTTTATTTTTTCCTGGTTTTATCTTCGTTTGTATGACAAATTTTTTATTTTTTATTTTTCAATTCAACCCCAAATTTAATGGTAACTCACAGATTACTTTACATGGGATCGCTTACACACACAGGCGATACACAGAAAGGGACGATGAGAAATTACAAAAAATTGTGTCACCTGTTTCATTTGTTAAGCCTAACAAGAACTCGCAAGATTGTTAATTTTTTTTTTTCAATTAATGAGACAAGAGGAACGTAAAAATCACCATAAATATATATATATATATTTTTACCAATTTTACCTTCGTTTGTATGACATTTTTTTTTTGTTCAATTCAACCCCAAATTTAATATTAGGTATAATGATATATAATAGCAGAGTCGTAGCAATAAGAATAGATTGTTAGACATAATAAGAAATACTTTAACAATAATTAGCCCATTAGGATTTAACTTTGATGCACAAAAACACCATGAGTTATAAAATTTAGAAGTGGTACATATGTTACCTTGATCCATTATGAGTAAGAGATTTTGAGCCGTAGTTATTAATGCTGACTAAACTTCAAAATGAGCCAAAAGTTAGTATCCGTCTATTCTGAATACCCAACGTAAAATTATAAGATCTTCAAACCACTTATGTATCTATAGTTAATGGGTACTAATTGTGGTGTTTCATTTCACAATACACGTAATGAGAGAGTATGATTTGGGACCCTTTTATATAGCATTAGTTCATTAAAGTTAGTTTTCCCATTAAAGACTTTTATATTTTCATAAAAACACCAAGAGTTACAAGAAATCTTAACTCTTCAATAACTATTTATTAAGTGAACACTAATTTCAAGAGTTCCCAAATGTTATGTTCACTTAACTCTTCATTAAGTGAATATTAACTTTAATTCCATTACTGTCACTAAATTTTATTGAAGCATATGTAACTCAAAAAAATGGCATTATTAAGTGTTTATAAAACTTTACATTTTTTGTCTTTCATATAGGTGCACTTAATATTTGATCACCTTCTAATTAATTTCTTAAAACCATCTTCATGGAAGTATCTAATATACCATATGTATAATAATGTAAAGGCCACATTAAAGAGATAAATTTATAATAATCTCCCACTTGGCTTACATAATTATACCATTTATTAGATTATTCACATAATATAGCCATCACACTTTTCCAAAGAAGAGGTTGCACCATCTACATTAGATTCTGTTCAATGAAACTACTAATTCCAAACCATTGTAGTTATTAAATCGCTCATCGATTCAATACCATTCAACAATTATAACATTAATACCTTCATCAACATGAATCGATGAGATTTAACTAATACTGATAACATTAGCAAAGTAATAGAGATTAGTGTCAATTCATCATTAACGGTCCAATATTGTTTTTATATTTAATTGTGCACGAAAGTTGAAAACAACACAACATAATCATCATATTGTCATAAACATAATGTGATCACAGCAAAAACATCTATACATTTTTAACCCAAACATAAAAGACTTTCCACCAAGCCCATGTGCGCAACATGATCCTTAAAGAGCTTAGGTGAGAGACCTTTTGTCAATGGGTTTGCTAACATCAGTGTAGTACTGATATATTCAATTGAGACAATTTGGTTCAAAACCCTTTCTCTCACAGCAAGATACTTGATATCAATGTCTCGATCCTCCAGTAGTTTTGTTATTCTTAGAGAATCGAATAGCAGCATCATTATCACAGTAAATTTTTAAGGGTTATGTAATTGAATCAACAACACTTAATCCTGTGATAAAATTTCTTAACCATATTGCATGACATGTGGCTTCGTAACATGCTACGAATTCGGCCTCTATAGTGGAAGTGGCAACTAGTGATTACGTTTGACTCTTCCATGAAATAGGCCCATCTGTTAGCATAAAAATATATCCAAAAGTAGACTTCCGGGTATCCGAGCATCCAGCAAAGTCAGAATCTGAATAACCAATAACCTCAAGGTTATCTGTCCTTTTGTATGTAAGCATGTAGTCTTTAGTTCCTTGCAGATAACGTTGTACTTTCTTGACTGCTTTCCAATGATCAATACTTGGATTACTTTGGTATCGACCAAGCATACCTACCATATATGCTAGATCGGGACGTCTACAAACTTGAGCATACATAATACTCCCAACTGCAGAACCATTAGGAATTCCCTTCATTTATTCCCTTTCAATATCATTTTTGGGACATTGGAATTCACCAAATTTGTCACCCTTCACAATAGGGGCAATAGTATTAGAATAATGTTGCATGTTGAATCTTTTAAGAACCTTATCAATATAGGCTCGTTGGGATAATCCTAAAAGACCGCGAAACCTATCTCGGTGAATTTCAATACCAATAACAAATGATGCTTCACCCATATCTTTTATATCAAAATTCCTTGACAGGAATTGTTTTGTCTCATGTATCATTCCCATATTATTGCTGGCAAGCAATATATTATCAACATACAACACTATAATACAGATTTTACTACCACTGATCTTAAGATATATACATGAATCCACTAGATTCTCTTTAAAACCAAAGTTGGTTAAAACTTCACAGAACTTAAGATACCATTGTCGAGAAGCCTGCTTTAGACCATAGATGAACTTTTTGAGCCTACACACATTGTGGGTCTTGCCTTTATCATGAAAACCTTCAGGTTGGTCCATATAGACCATTTCATGCAAGTCACCATTTAAAAAGGCTATTTTGACATCCATCTGATGTAGCTTTAGATCATAATAAGCTACTACTGCCATGACTATTTGAAGGCAGTCCTTCTTGGAAACTGGAGAAAATGTTTCCTTATAATCAATCCCTTCTTTTTGAGTGTATCTTTTAGCAACTAATCTATCCTTGTATCTTTCAATGTTGCCTTTGGAATCATGTTTGGTTATGAAAATTCATTTGCAACCAACAGTTTTGGATTATTTAGGTAATTATACAAGATTGTAGACTTCATTATCCTTCATAGATTTCAACTCTTCATTTTATGGCATTAATCCATAGAGTTGATTTATCGCTACTTATGGCCTGAGCATAAGAAATAGGATCATTTTCCAAGCCAATATCATAATCACACTCATTAAATAAATTTCATAGTCATTCGATATAGCAGGCCTACTTTCTCTTTGGGATTTGCGTAAAGGTACTTCTATAATTAGAGTAGATTCCTTAATGTGGGAAGTTTCTTTAACACCACAATTTTCCAATATAGGTGTATGTGTCACCATATCTTGGACCACCTTTAATGGCATAAGAATCCGATCTTCCTCAAAGGAAATTTTTCTAGGCTCAATTCTCTAACTAACATCCCCATTTTCTAAAAACACAGCATGTCTAGTTTCAATAATTCGAGTACTATGAGGGGGACGATAAAATCTAAACCCTTTTGATCATTCTGGATAACCACTGATATAACAACTTATAATTCCAAAGTCCAATTTCTTTAATTGTGTGGTGTGCCCTTTTCCTCGTCGTCAATGGAACGACAAACCAAAGTATGTGAGTGTGTGGCCAAGTTTTAAATTTATAAAGTGCCACTACTACCTTTAACTACTAACGCAGCAAGGATGAGTAGGGATCGTCCACAGGGATTGGGAGGCAGTATTGATATGGAAACGATATAGGGTTAGTAGGTCGAGTGATCAAAGATGTGGTTTGCTTGGTTAATTAAACTACAAACTAAAACTAAGCAAATTCAATATAAAGCAAGTAATAGTAAATGAAGATAGAGAAAACAATAGAGAGAGGTTTTAGGACTTAGAGGTCACCACTAAACATCACCTTTCTAGACATTCAATGTACAATGAATGAGGGGAAACATGTGTTGCAATATAGTGTGTGTTTTTTATTGAATCAACAAGCAAGGATGCCTAATTAAGTATATATTGGCTAAACAATATGGTGAATAACACAATATATCAAACTAAGCCAATATTCCTTCCTTTAAGCTCACAACCTAAACACATCAAATGGTTAGAAACATATATTACTTACATTCATAAGCATGGAACATTAAACAACAAGCATGGATTATCCTCCCATCTAAGAAACTAAGGCAACTACACTACAACTAAGCTAGGGACATGAAAATTAAACTAAGGGAGAGGCACAATCCATCAAAAAATGAGTATGAACCATCAAATAAACCACAAGAGTATTCTATTAAGTACCATGCCTTGACAATCTCTAGATTTATAACATCAACACACATAGACATGCATTAACAACACAAAAATTAGAGATAAACACATGAACATCTACTCTAGCATACATAGACATATGGATAGATTGAAATGATCAATTAGAAGCATTAAACCACACAAATCATTGTATAAACAAGATTCATATATAAATCAAGTGCCAAGACAAGAATTACAACACAAATCCCCTCATAATATAAAACATCAAGGTCTAGAAGGCATGCTTAGTGTTGGGTCCTTATATTGTAGGTCGCGGTGACCACAAGCTTAGAGAAGCATGCAATTTAGGCGAGGGCCAAGTTTTACATTTATAAAGCCACTACTACCTTTACTAAAAATATAGCTAGGGCGAGTAAGGATCGTCCCAAGGGATTAGAGTCGTACTTGAATGTGAAAATGTAACTAGGGTCAGTAGGTCGAGTGATCAAACAAGTGGTTGGTTGGTTATTTAAACTAGAGAACAACTAAATTAAATTAAGTAAGAATGCAATGCTAAAGAGAATAAGTAAGGGAGAAAGAGATCTTAAGGTTTAGAGATCACCACCAAGCAATGCATTTCGATATCTTTGACAAATGATTAATGAGGGCAATTAGGGTGTTGAAATATTGGAGTGTGTGTATTTGGTTAATTCAACAAGTAAGGATGACTAGTTAAACATGTATTGTCTAAACATCATGTGAAAGGCACAATATATCGAAGCTATAAAGCATATATTGTCTAAACAACATGTGAAAGGCACAATAAATCAAAATAAGTTATTAATCCTTTAATTAAGCTCACACTCCAAATACAACACAAGGATAGAAACATATGTTAATTGCATTCACAAGCTTGGATCATCAAACAACAAGTATAGATTGTCCTCCCATTTAACACTACACTACAACTACACTACATCTACACTACTAGCATGAAAATAAACTAGGGGAGAGGCACAATCCATCAAGAGGTAAGCATGACCCATCAAGAAAATCACAAAAGCATTCCTTTAAGCACTATATTTTGACAACCTCTAAATCTATGGCATCAATACACATAGACATGTATTAATAACATAAAATCTAGAGATAAGAACATGAACATCAATTCTAGCATACATAGACATATGGATAGAATAAAATGATCAATTGAAAGTATTAAACCACATAAATCATTGAATAAACAAGATCTATATATATCAAAGTGTTAAAACATCAATTGCAACACTAATCCCTCAACAATACACAAGATTAAGATATAGAAAGCATGCTTGGTGCTAACTCTAGCCCCAAGAGGATGTCTAGCCACTCATGGTGAGGATGCTCCAACCCTCAAGGGCTAACTCCATGGAAGAGGTTTGCTCCTTGTTGATGAAGATCTCCAATGGTGTTTCTAGCATCCTCCTCCTCTAAACTTCTTCTCCAAGAGATGATATAAAAAAAAATAATGTTGGCTCCCCTTTGAAAAAACAATCCTTATCCTCATATAGGTAGGTCAAAATAACACCCAAAATGAGCTGGGGTCGTGCACATAATATTCCCCAATGATTGGATAAAGGACAACTTTTAATCAGATGAAATTTTAACTTTTTCGCACTGGAGGAAGTTCGATCAATCGAAAGTAAGTGAGATCGATCGAACTTAGGCTGGATTAATCCAACTGGCTAAGCTTTTTGGAAAAAGACAAATCCGAGATATTTATGGGAGATATTTATGGGAAAAGGACAAAAGTGGTTGGTGGGTGGTACAGCTGTGGATAGGATCAATCATTTGGATAAGGACAAAGGTGTTCAATCGATCGAAGAATGATGTTGGATTGATCAAACTTTTGAACTTAACTGCTTTGGGTCAAGGCTTGGATCTATCTTGAAGTACTGAGATCGATCAATGTTCGATCGATCGAACCTTGGACTTGGATTGATCGAACTTGCTGCTTTGCTTCATTTTGCTTCTTTCTTTCTCCACTTTGCTCCTTTCTTTGTTCAATCCCAGAATTGCTTCAATTAAGCTCTTATTTGGCTGAGTTAGCTTATTTTCGGGATAAGTCCCTGAAAATGAAAATAATATGAAATCAATCTAAAATAGTAAAGTAAGATAGATAAAGGTACTAGAATGCCTAAGCTTAAGGAGTTTAAATATGCACTTTTCAGTGCTCATCACACCCCCAAACTTAAATATTGATAGTTCCTAGCAATGAACTAGAAACTAAAGCAATGAAATAAACAACTAAACAACTATCACTAGAAGCAATGAAATGAATAACGCCACTTTCATAGGGAACACGATTACACTTAGCACATGCAATAAGCCTTTTAAACCCCTAGGTTACCCCTAGTGGACGATTGAAGTCTCGTGAGGGTTTCCAGAAATGGTACCCGCAAACATTAAGCTCATTCTTTCAAAAGAGGTACCAATATTACCAACAAGCATTGGGAGAAAACTACCTCAAGTATGCAATTTTTCAACCCTTTCCAAGTAATCTCTCAAAATTTCAACATCAAGCAAGCAAGTATGGTCCTCCACACATCAAGAAAATGATCATGCAAATCTAAACAACTCTAGAATTCTTTTGAGTGGACCGGCATCAATATGTTGCTATTTTAGCCAACTAAAGAATTAATCACATCATTACCCTCAAACTAGCATACAAATCTAGTACCGATCATCAAGACAAAAAGTGGACCTTTTATTAAAACTTTATTGTTCTAGGTGCGCTTATTCTTTTCACTCATTTTTTTTTATTTTTTTTTATTTTTTAGGATCAAAGATGGAAGCATAGTGCAATGTATTAATCTATTAAGCTTTCTAGCGATTCTTGAGATCGAGCGTTAGGTCAATGACTCCCAAACCAGACGGCTTTAGGGCATTAGGCATTCAAACACCCCTACGGCTTACAAGCTCAAATCAACTAGGCTACAAATCAAAATAACCTCCATCTAATCATTTCCCACTTCTCACCATTTGGGAGAAGTCCTCACTTTTTA